CCCCACTTTGCTGTTCACATCACTTTCTGATTGATTTAGTAATAAAAATTAAAAACCTTTGACCCTAATGTATAGAAAAATTGAAACAAGCTGGTTTTATGCAGCATTTAGACTTATGTTCTGGAAGTTTTTGCTAATATGTGCACTTTCAATCAGATAATGCCTCAATTTCAGGGAAATTGTAAAACAAAAAAACGAAGTTCATGGAAATATCAGATGATTAAAATAGCAGTTACCGATAGAAAGATAGAAACACATGTACTTTTAAAATACACTATATTGCCAAAAGTAGTCACTCACCTGAATTGACTCACATATGAACTTAAGTGACATCCCATTCTTAATCCATAGGGTTTAATATGACATTGGTCCATCCTTTGCAGTTAGAACAGCTTCAATTCTTCTGGGAAGGCTTTCCACAAGGTCTAGGAGTGTGTTTATGGGATTTTTTGACCTTTCTTCCAGAAGTGCATTTGTGAGGTCACACACTGATTTTGGACGAGAAGGCCTGGCTCTCAGTCTCTGCTCTAATTCATCCCAAAGGTGTTCTATTGGGTTGAGGTCAGGACTCTGTGCAGTTCATCCACACCAGACTCTGCCATCCATGTCTTTATGGACCTTGCTTTGTGCACTGGTGCAGTCATGTTGGAAGAGGAAGGGGCCAGCTCCAAACTGTTCCCACATAGGTGGGAGCATGGAATTGTCCAAAATCTCTTGGTATGCTGAAGCATTCAAAGTTCCTTTTACTAGAACTAAGGGACCAAGCACAGTTCCTGAAAAACAGCCCCACACCATAATCCCCCTATCACCAAACTTTACACTTGGCACAATGCAGTCAGGCAAGTACCGTTCTCCTGGCAACCGCCAAACCCAGTCTCGTCCATCAAATTGCCAGATGGAAAAGCACGATTCGTCACTCCAGAGAACGCATCTCCACCACTCTGGAGTCCAGTGGCGGCGTGCTTCACAACATTGCATCGGACACTTTGCATTGCACTTGGTGATGTATGGCTAGGATGCAGCTGCTCTGGCATGGAAACCCATTCCATGAAGCTCTCTATGCACTGTCCTTCAGCTAATCTGAAGGCCACATGAAGTTTGGAGGTCTGTAGCAATTGACTCTGCAGAAAGTTAGTGACCTCTTCCCAATCACTTTCACTTTGCTATAATACCACTGACAGTTGACAGTGGAATATTTAGGAGCAAAGAAATTTCACAACTGGACTTGTTGCACAGGTGGCATTATATCACAGTATGACACTTGAATTCACTGAGCTCCTGAGAGCGACCCAGTCTTTTTACAAATGTTTGTAGAAACAGTCTGCATGTCTAGGTGCTTGAATTTATACAACTGTGGCCATGAAAGTGATTGGAACATCTAATTTTGGTTATTTGGATGGGTGAGTGAATACTTTTGCCAATATAGTGTACCTTCCTTTCATTCATTTTCTGTTTTTTCCCAGTTGGAGGCTGAATTTTGCACTTCAGTTGCTCTTCCAGTTTCTTCGTTTGTTCATTTGTCATTCAGCTTCTGGATCTATAAGACTTTTTTTTTTTTTTAAATATACGTGTTTTAAAAAATATTGACAGTATCTTCAGATTCATGGAAAAATCTTTGTATTTCAAACTTTTTTTAAGGTGCCACTACAGCTGTGCACCTCCTTCAAAATCCCATTGGACATATTTTGAGGATGCTTGGGGAAAGAAAACTCATAATTAGCATACAATAAATTACTTAACAAGTACATCTTCTGTAAAGGCACTTGGTAAGTTTCCAGCACTCTTCTAATCCTGCAGCAGGAAAAAGCTGCAGCTCAGTGACTTCTGGCCCCTTTAAAAGATACCTCGTGACCTGGTCTTTATCCTGCCACTGCTGACAGGAAGTCAAAAAACAAGCAGAGATACAAAGTACAACTCACAAAATAAAAGTCCGGTTTATTGTCAAACAACAAACTTCGCACATACATCAAAACAGGCCGTCATAAAACAAAAAGTCGCTGACAAAAACAAAATGAAAGGAAAAAGAAAAGAGGCTCTTTTCTTTGGCCTTACCCTCCCATACAAACAAACTAGTTATGGTACAGCTAAAGTACATACATTAAATTTACTGGAATGCTCTGAGTTCAACGGCTTAAGAGGTTCATGTTTTTTTACATGTTTTTTTCTAGTATCTGTTGAGATATTGTAACATGGTCAACCAAGTAAAATCTTTTGTTAAAGAAGCACCGATTTGGTCTGACAAGATCGCTGCCGAGAGAGAAACTGACCCCCCCCCTCCTAACAATATGTACAAAAATATAAAATGTAAATAAAAATACAAACAAATTCTCCTTTCGTGTTGTTGTTATTGTTGAAGAGAAGCCAGATTTCTGCATGTGGTGGCGAGGTCCTCTAGAAAATTTGTTTTGCAGCTTTGAGGGGAGATCAAGTGTTTTGTGTGGTGGGTCGTGGTTTGTTGAACTCTACTTGCTAATGACCATGTTGATTTTTTTTTTTTGTATTATTATTATTTTTTTTTTCCTTTAAATCAGTCCTCCAGCCCCTCCACCTGTGACATATAAAAACGGTCAGAGGTGAAGAATCAGGAAGTGGTTCAGCAGGATGGCGCGGGGCGAAAACGCATCAATCGTCGTCGTCGGTTTTCTGCTTCTTGGTTTCGACGTCATCCTAAGAAGAAGAAGAAGAAGAAGAAATTAGAGATCATAGATGTCAGGAGGATCGGTGTCTCAGATTCTAGGACGCAGTGATCGCCGCATCACCTCGTCATCATCGTCGTCGTCCTCAGCTGCCCGTTTTGTGCCGCCCTCGATCTCATCATCATCCTCCTCCTCATCCTCCTCATCACCTGCAGCACAAACAGCAAGAAAAGTCAAAATTTTTGCAAGTTCTAGAGCAAAAATAAACAAAAACATGGCCAAAACCCGGCAACTACCTTCTCCGTCGTCTTCCTCATCCTCCTCATCCACCTCCTCGTCCTCCTCATCGTCAACCTCGGGCTCACCGTTCTCCTCATTTTCCTGGAAAGACAAAAAGTTTTAAATGACCGGCTTTCTTGCACGCTTGCGGAAATCGTAACTTTTTCTCGGAGATGGTGGTTACCTTTCCATTGGTGGCAGCATCTTTGCCGTTCTCCTTCTCCTCCACTAGCTTCTTCTCTTTCAGGTCCTGCAAGAAACAAATCAGAAAGTGTAAAAACAGTATTGTGGATGTGTTAAAACTCCTTCCAGGCTTCTACCTGCCCTTCTACCTATTGGCCTACTTAGAGCTGCACATTTTTCAAGCTTCCTATTTAAACACCATATTGGTCTCTGCAGATCCTCCCCCCTGGCCTCCTCCTCCTCCTCCCACTCCATCCCCTCTAATGTGTTGTAATCTGATACTTTGATGTGGCCCCCGGGGCACTCTGGGTATTGTAGTCTTCCGCGGGCCGCCGCCACCATATGTCACGAGACACGCCCGGGAGAGGCACTGCAATACCCAGGATGCACTGCTCCGTTTAAAATAACACAGGAGCGCGGGGGG